AAATGTGGTATTTTCACGTGCTTTCAGATGGAGCAGCATTTACTACACAGAGCCGAAGTTCACTGACAAGCTATGCAAACAGCTTTCATAGCCGCAGAGCGATTTCATAATCGCGCGATTAAATCGTCTGCGATTATGAACGCGATTTTGCGTAGCTTGTCAGTGAACTACGGCTCTGTGTAGTAAATGCTGCTCCATCTGAAAGCACGTACTGGAGATTTACTACTAATCACAGAACCGGCTTTACTGACAAGATACGCATGACAATCAAATTCGATTAATCGAGAGATTGTATAAGTCTTTGGTGTTGTATATAATAAATCAGTACACTAGATGAGGTCAAATACACCATGTATGTTTCCACATTCTATTGATTTGTGCTTACTGGAGAAAGTGCAATACCTGAAATGCAAAAGTAAATTTCTCAAATTACAACAATCATTACGATTATAATATTGAGAATTTTTTATTTTTTTTATCAGTTTAACCATTATAAAGAATGACAAAAATGTGACTAAGATTTCATTGACTAAAACTTGACTAAAAAATGCTGCTCCATCTGAAAGCACGTACTGGAGATTTACTACTAATCACAGAACCGGCTTTACTGACAAGATACGCATGACAATCAAATTCGATTAATCGTGCAGCCCTAAGTCACAAGGACTATTTTAATGATGTCCTTATTATGTTTCTGTGCCTGGGAACATTTCAGTTGCAATGCTGTCTGTGGAGGGTCAAAAAGCTCTCGGATTTAATCAAAACTGACTAAAACTTGACTAAAATGCTCATACATTTCATTGACTTAAACTTGACTAAACAAAAACAGGACAAGGTTGTGTAAATATGATAATTAAAATGTACATTTGAGTAAGACTAAGACTAAATAAAAAATGGCTGCCAAAATTAATACTGTACGGTTAATAATGAATAATCTTATTGCTAAAACGTCAAGTTTTCATTGACTAAAACTAGACTAAAATACTTCCGGTTTGATGAGTCACTACATACTGACTGCTACTTTACTGACTGCTACTTTTGATATTGACCCCCGCTCTTTTCAGGGACTCATTCAATTTCTGTTCGTCAGATGTCTGTGAAATTTGTTCCGCTTATGTCTCAGTTGTTGAATCTTTTTATGTTCATACTAGGGATGTAAAATCGATGTGTGTGTACTGTATATATTATTTAATATATATATATATATATATATATATATATTCATGTATGATTTATATTATATAAATATAAATACATATTACATATATTTGTTAAATATATACATGTGTGTATGTGTATTTTTATATACATATAAATACATTCAGTACACACACAAATATTACGTAAACAAACTTTTATTTTGGTTGTGATTAATCCCTAGTTTATATATAAACCATAAGACCTCCGTTAATCCCAATGCTGTCTGTGGAGGGTCAAAAAGCTCTCGGATTTAATCAAAACTATCTTAATTTGTGTTCTGAGGATGAACGAAGGTCTTACGGGTTTGGAATGACATGACAGTGAGTAATTAATGACAGAATTTTCATTTTTGGGTGAAATATCCCTGGAAGTAGTTGAAAAGTCATAAATGACCATAAAGAGTTGGGAGAAAATCGGATGTCATTGTGTGTCTGACGTGCGTCAGGTTTTAAAGAGACAGAACTGCGTTTAAAGTGAAACCTTCTGCAGTCTGTCATTGATGTCAATGACATCAAGATAAATCACTCACTGCTCTTCGTTGATTAACTTTTGTAGCTTGAATAAAGATTCATTTATAGTTTATGCATATACAATTTATAGTTTATGTGAAGATTGTTTTAAGTTCACTTAAATTAAAAGTTGTTATATTTTTCAAAGTCTTTTAAATGTTAAAAATAACAGCTTTCACATGCAAGCTGAGTTTAATAACAAATGAAATAACTAACAAAACACAGGAACACAAGAGAACAGGAAACCACGAGCTGGGAACAAGGAACACGTGCATCTACAGAAAACACAACAACTGACAAACAGCCCCTGGCCCTTTAATCGCCGATGCTAAAGTGCCCTTTCGGTCCGATCTAGGTGCCCCCGGACTGTGATCTACCGAAATTGATAAAGTAGAAGTTGTCACATTGATTGCAAGTAGTGTTTACATACTGCATATTGATATAACGTATACCATTTGATGAAACTATCATTATTGGTTAAATGAAGCCCAAGTGCCACCAACATGCCTATTATGTAAAGTGTAAGCAGTTCAAGTTCAAAAACACGTGAATGACTTTATTTTTATAATTATGTATATACATAATTTTACTATAGTAATTGTTCAACTGGAATTACTCCGTATATACAGTATCTCACAGAAGTGAGTACACCCCTCACATTTGTGTAAATATTTTATTATATCTTTTCATGTGACAACTCTGCAAAGAAATTACACTTTACTACAATGTAAAGTAGTGTGTGTACAGCTTGTATAACACGGTAAATTTGCTGTCCCCTCAAAATAACTCAACACACAGCCATTAATGTCTAAACCGCTGGCCACAAAAGTGAGT